CTAGGGCCTTGATTAATGAAAGAAATGCTGAAAACGAGGCTAGGAAAGAACGACGACGTGAAAATATCAAACGACGAGCAGAAAATCAAAGAAAATCTGAAATTGTTCAAGTGGTAATATATAATAGTTTTTTTTTATGCTACCTACGTATCTATAAAGACAGTTTACTTTTACTGAACACTTATTTTGTTTTACTACGGAAAAAAAACGGATTTCAACATTTTTTATTACTACATATTTCAAATTTTACCATAACTATGTTTAGTTTAATAATAATTTTTAAATTTCTTTTATAGAAATAAAAGAGTTAAATTAAGAATAAAATATATGCCAGTCATTAGTGTTTGGCCGTAATTTTATTTCTTTATGATTTTGAGAAATTAGTACAAACATTATTTAGTAGAAAATAAAATTTAATTGAATTATTGAATCTTACAATAGTAAGATTGTAGCTGAAATCAAAGTTAGAAATCTTATCCAATATAGAACGATAAACCTTATTTATATTTATATAAACATTAGCTCAACGAGTTCTGTTTTGTTATACAATAAACTATACTGGACATTTAATTTTTTTCAGATTAAGAATCCTGCCAAAATCAAGAGAATGAGGAAAAAGGCAATGAGACAAATTGAAAAAAGAGATACATTAAATATCAAATAATATTCTTGTTTTTGAAATATAACTAATTAATAATTGTAATATAAAATATACTTTAAATATAATTTTTCTATTTGATTAAAGACTTAATTAATATACCAATAATACCAGATACAAGGTGAATGGTGATAATTATTATATATTCGAAGTTCTCACATTATTTATTTATAATAATCATATAATTAAAACCTGATAGTGGCATTCATTACCTAGCTGTGTCATTTTTTAATACTTAACCGTTTGTGCCAGTACCTTACTGTTGCATGTGTTAAATTTGATATTTAAATTAAAATGTACCTTGGTACACCTTCGATTTTGTGTCAAATTCCTAAATGGGTATGTTAACAACATCTTAAAAGTTTTTTCTATGGGGTTTGTGGTCTGTTGCTTGTGGAATGGCTAATCTTGTAAGAAATCTGTAATTTATTAGTGATATTTTTCATGCAAGCATGCACAACTTGTTGAATTGGTAGGTTTTCTATAATTTTATTTTAATAAGGATTTTTTACAGGACTGCTTGTGTACACATAAAACAAAACAAACACAAAATATATAGTTTTATAGTTCAATGAAGATGTATTTTCTGCAAATTTAGCAGATATTTATAAAAACACATTTTAGAGGTATTAAATAATATCAATTATAAAACAATGTCCACAGAGTATTCAATTACCTACACTGTGTAGCTGTGTGCATGCTTATGTTTGCTGCCACTTATATAATAACTCAATAATTTAGATTTATATTAATTAAATTACGATATAGTCATAGTATGTCAGATCAGTAACTACTTATTTCATATTTCTAGAGTGGAAATAAAGAACTAAACGCCAATATAATAAAAGTATATAGCGAGTTATGTGTAAGAATTACATGATATAAGTGATATTTATGGTTTCCACATTCTGAATGAAACAGACACTATAAAGACCACACAGCAAGTGTATCATTAAAAGTTACGCTTGAATGTGTGATATTTTATTATTTTAAGTGTTAAGTTCACATTTGGACATATCAGTAATAAGTTTGTACTTGATAAAATAAATAGGGATAAAAACACTACATTTTGGAATAAAAATAATTATATTAATCTTTGTAATAATTATTAATATTAAATCACAAAATAAAATTGATTTACTACAACTGAGGAAACAGAAAATTTAATAGAAAATTAGCCAATTGTGTAAAAAAATAAAAATATAAAAAATAATAATAATGCAATTTATTGAATATAAGTTATAATAAGATAACAGTAAAAATAATAATAAATTATTATATTAATTTTAAATCATAACACAGCAAAAGCTATTGGAAAACATAAATAAAGGGATTTGTTAATTTTATCTGGAAAAAAAAACAAAAAAAAAACAACAACAAAGAATTAATTTAAAATGTTAACATGAAGTAGGTACATACATTATAGATAATTACTTATTATTATGTGTCTTGGGCATCATGTTTTTCCACCATGACAAAATCATTAACACTGTGCGACTGCTGACTACTTGATTCTGTATCAGTTGAAGAGGAATCTTCAGAACATCTATTTAAAAAAAAATCAGAATATTATTATTGTTCAATAAAACTACTTTTATTAAATTATTAAAAACAGTCTATTATACATAATATATCTATTAAAAAAAAACGTTTTTCAATATTATTTACCTAAAATATCATTTAAAAAATGTATAAATTTGCACTTAGGTCTCATATGAAATTGTATGAAAAAATATTAGTTTAAATAAAAATGTATTTTAAACTATTAGCTATATATGTTGTGCTTTAAGAAACTAGTATGAATTGTGTAAAATGCTAATTAGAGAAGTATTAAGAAGCATGAAAACACATCTTATATATTTAAAGTATAAATATTTTGATAAATTGACAATTGACATTTTTAATGTTTGGGAAATCTTAATTATTATTTAAATTTTAGTCAATGAGCTATAATAATTTTTAATTTTTTAAAGCGTAAGTATAAAATTGTCTACTTTGGATTTTCAAATTTTCCAGATTCTGTATTTAATAAAGTGTTGTCATGTTCAAATGTTTCAGTTTCAGGAACCTTTTCGTCGATTTCAGATTCTGAAGATTTTTTTTCTTCATCACAATCATCCAGTTTCTTATCATCTTCATCTTCATCGTCTGATAATTTCTCTTTTTTCTTCTTTCCCTTTTTAGCACTTTTTTTATAGAATACACTATACTAAAATATTAACAATACATATTGCATAAATAATTGTATTTATTTACCAAAGGTATAGAATTAGTTATGAGTACATACTGTATAAATAGGCCAAAATGAAGCAAAGAAGCCGACATCTTCTGTCAGATTTGGGAATAACCAAAAATGTAATTTGCCTGTTGTCAATATCCAAAGCAAACTGAACAAGACTAATCTAAGAATGGCCAAAACAATAATGAATATCAGAAATCCTGCTGCTGCTATACTTAAGTACTGCACACCCATTCTAAAAATAAATAAATCAAAACAAAAACATGAATTTAACAAGGTAAGGTAGATAATAATGAATAATTATTAAATCATTAAATAACTGTATATACAATCAATTAACTTACCTCACTTGTGGTGGCCATAATGGGAATAAACAAATTCCAATTCCACCAAATACAATGAATGTTCCTATTACCCAATAATAAAATGGAATAGGATCATAAATCCAAACATATGCATCCAAATTGTCAACAAATGATTGTTCCATATGCATTTCTAAACGTATTTTACGACTTTTTTTTTTCCGTTCAATCTGTTAATACAGACAAACATTTCAAGTTTAGGAGGTAGTTAGGTAATTTAGTTTGACTTAACAATTTACTTGTTAAAAAAGAATGTTTTAAGTATAAATGGTATTGCATGCAATTTTTGAAAATTTCTTATTCTACATTAGAGCATGTAACTATAAAAAAACAACATATTTTTGGTAAGCATTATCAAACTAATCCCATAAAATGTATAAGTAATCTTCAAGACAAGCAGAACAAAAAAAATAAATTCAGTTATATTTTATGAAAAATGATGCTTACATCAATTAAGGTATTCAGAAATATAACATATTTCATTGTATTTATCAAAATTCAATATTTTTTTTTAAAATTCTTTATAGGTATACGATACAACACTATAATGCTTTCTGTATTCGAAAAAATATATCAATGCATGATGACTGCATTGTAGAATTTTAATTTTCAATAAAGCAACAAATGATAATCATGGATGAAATCAATTCATTAATCAGATACATTTATCAAACATTTTACTGAAGGGGTTGGGTGGGTAATGGGTATGAGTCTGATAGTTTACACCACTTATTCCAGGTTGCATAAAAAGTGTATTAATTTAATAGACCAACCATGGGCCACTAAATCATATAAATCATAATTAAGAAACCAATTAGCTCACAGTTGACTCATTAAATGTTTACTAAATGTTTATGCAACCAGGCAAAATATAATACTTTCAAAAAAAAAATCTGATAATATGTACAAGTACGATATTAACTACTTTATAATATAGTAAGGTAAATATAATATAATATACTCAAGTTAAAATATATATTATATTATAAATACAAATAATATACACAAAAGATAATCTTACTTCAGTGGATTTGATTTTATCATCATCAATTTTGTCATCTTTACTAGTTTCTTCGCTTTCATCATCTTTTTTATCTTTTTTCTTTTTATCTGTTTTCTTCTTCTCGTCTTTATCAGTATCATTTGATTTTTTGGACTTTTTATTTTTCATAGCTTTTAGTTCCTGATCAGATATCGGTACTTTCTTAGCACGGTGATAAAATTGATGCTTCAACATTCTGGAAAGGAAACATAGTAACTAAGTATATAAAATAAAATTTACAGAGTAATGTGAACAAATATCATACAAGTCCAAAAACGTTTCGATCTCTTGTCTGGTAGTGAACAACTTCTCGCTGGTTGCCCATTTTGATTCCAATAAACTGTCAACGGCTTTGCTGCCTGTATGCACAAAAATAAAAATCAATTGACATGTCATATCGCACACGCATCCAGTGCAAGTCACGTCGTCATCAGCACCACATACCTGTAAAGTACTCGACATTGTGTCCGGCAAATTTTGTCTTCTTGTGTGGGACGTGCTTGCGCAACCAAGCGGCCACAGAGTACTCGGTTTTGCTGGGCTTATCGGCTGCAGCCTCGGGGTCCAAGCTGTACTCCTGAAAAACCAACGGTACACATTAACATTCTGGTCGCTACGACGGTCCTGGCTGCGCGACTACCATAACAAGCGACCTCAATGACGACGTCATTATAATATTATATCGTTGTGTCGTCGTGACAGCCGACTACTCACCTCGTCTCGTCGCCGTTTGCCTTTTCTCTTCTCGGCCATTATGCACTGGCCGCGGTCGTATGTGTTTCACGCCCGAAAGACCACCGACACATCCACCAGACGACAGGCTAGTCGTGGACTACTGTTGTACAGCTGCTGCTGACGCGTCGTATCCACAGCCGCGTTATCGGCGAGAATTGAAAACGGAGAAAATAATATTACGTTCAACGATGAAAACAGGGAGCGGAAGACACGTTCGTGGTCGTCGACCGGATGGGACGCTGCTGTCTTATGTCTTCTGTCGATATCTTATTGTCTCGTCGTTTCGATGGCGAACAGCCGTCGACAGCGCACACCGAGCGTTGACTAGGGCACTGCGACGCGTAAAATTGTGAAAAGTAAAAATCCCGTTGATTGACCGAGTTATTTGTTTTGCTTTTTAGTTTTCGCTGTCCACCACGCGATACAGTGCCGACACGAAAGCGACTCGAAACATTCCGATGGCCCCGGAAGTCGGCCTGGCGCCAGCGCGACCGTGATAACCACCACACAATAGGGAAATACCACGAACAGTAACCACGAACACAATAATTAATTATTATTGTGTTCCCATAGCTGCTGATTTATTTTAGTCTTATGATTATTCCTACTTAATATACTAATTCAGATTTTCAGAGGTGGGTAAAATGCAAACGGTAATTAGAAAAAGCGCTTAAATACGTCTTATGAGAAATAATATACTTTATTTTATGTTTTGGGTAGGTACCTACTTCTTCTGGAATATTTGAAATTATAGTCAATTTTAAAGTAGGTACCTACCTATATTGTATTTCTATTTGTGTATATGACTTTTATAGTTTATGATTTACAACACAGCAATAAGATTTATTAAATTATATTAACTAACAAAACAAAAATTGATTTGGCTCCCAAACACAGGTAATCGATATTATTACATTTTACGTATTGAATTGGCTCCCTCGACATTTATATTATAAATCCATTGATTATCAATATAACAATATTGTAATAATTAAAATCAACTATACATTAAAATAATTTGAAATACAATTATAACATTTTAATATTTTATAGTCAATCAAAATTGTTCCAAATTACTGCTTTTTTTCTACCTAAATTATAGGTGGAAATAAAGAAAATCTAATACAAGGTTCCTTATAAGTTTTTATGATAGCAGATTCAAAACTATTATAAACATAGTACGTAGATACAATTTTTTTTATAAGACATTTTTATATTAAATACGATAGGATTGATTATATTGCCTACAATTGACGATGCTAATAATATTACAATCATCATTGTAAATAAATAAACGTAAATAAATTATTAATGGCAATATTCATTTATAATAAAATCTCGTTAAAAATATAGGCTGTCAAATGGAAGCACAGAATCCCAGGCCCAGCCCTAATTTTTTTTCTCATCGTCTGATGATTTATCAATGAATTTAAAATTAACACATTCATTACAGACTAGGTATGATGACCACCATGACAATGACACAATGTATAGGTTAGGTATATTATATGATTTATATGTATCGACAAGTGACAACTACAATACGTTATACAGCAGAGATACTTTCTTAACATAGGCGCAATTGCGTAAATAGTGTTTGAAATTTGTGAGGGGGTAGATAAGTTTTAAATTATAATAGTGAAATCATTAGTTTTTTATTCAAGCCTATGTTTCTTGAGTACCTATTGATCTTACCTAAGTGTTATTTTGGTTTTTGGTGTAACTCTAAAAGAAATGCAATAAACACGTAAACACGTAAAAAACATGCAACTATTAATATTTTGAACTTAAAAACGCGCGCTGAAGGAATCGACCGTTACGGTCGCCCACTTAACCCGCAAGATGGCGTATCGTATATGATTTTTGTTATTTATTTAATTTTATAATTTTTCGATTTTGAGTCGTGTTTTACGACAATATCAGTAGTTGGACAGTCGACAGCCCTCGTTAGTCGTTACGATGTTAACCCATCGATTCTTAAGTAAACAAACAAATAACTATATCGCCATGTGGAATGTGTAACCTGTTATCAGTCAGCATTGTATAGGTAGGTATATTTTTTTCGATTAATTAATCTAGGACATTTATTATTTATAACAGTGGTGAGGTGAACTAGGCGGGAAACAGTAGCAGATCCAGAAGTCACCCAAGGAAGGGGGGGACATTTTCAAAAATTAAATTACCTTTTTTTAACCAAATTTTATAATTAAAAAATAACTTGAAAAACATAGCCCGGGGGGGGGGGGCGAACGCATATTGCAATCCCTGTATCCAACACTGCGAAGAAATATTTTTATTTTGTATATACCTAGGATTTGTTGAAGGGGCTGTAACGGTGTAAATTACCAATACAGTATTTATATTTTATTATAATATACATATATATCAATACATAATATATCAACTTACATTTGTTCTAAATTATCACCGAGTGCTACTCCATCAAACTATTTTAATTTTAATTTCATTAAATTATTTTTGTTCACCTATCTATTATGACGTAGCCACGTAGGTATTGTTTATAGTTTATACTGTCATTAGAAGAACATCGTATTACAAATTGATCTACATTTTGGTATCTCAACAGTGGAATGGGATTAACTAAAATTATTAAGACTGTTAGTTGTTACTATTTATCTGATGAATTTCAAGAAACTAAATTTCTAACCTTCATGCATTTGGTGAACAATCAATATTAGAAATAGCATTAATCGATTTTATAGGTTCACCCCTAGATAAAGTAATTTTTTTAGGACTTTTAAAAGGATATGTAATGAGAAAATATTAACAATACATAATATTGCATAATTAATAATTTATTTACCTAAAGTACAGAATCAATAGCAAGTAGGTGCCATTATACTGTATAAATGGTCCAAAATTCAGCAAAGAAGCCTAGATATTTTGTCATACTTGGGTATTATAGTCTTAGTATAGATAAATGTAATTGTCCTATTGTCAATATCCAAAGCAAACTGAATAAGACTTATCTAAGAATTATTAAAATTATAATACATATAATAAATTCTGCCACTTATACTTTATGAGTATTGCACACTCATTCTGAAAATAAATAAATTTAAAAACGTAATATTTTAGGTTAGGTAAAGGTTTGACATTTTGAGGCTGTGCTTGGTTCACTTAGGAAAGACTTATTCTTGTAAATCACCACGGAATAAATCCTGAAAGAGACCAGTGAGCTGTTATTTTGATTAATATAAAATAAACGTCGTGGGGCCGGGTGGAAGTAATGTGAAATCAATTCCCACCAGGTCTCGTGGTTAAGTGGTTTAAATGAAAAAAAAAAAAAATAAGGCAAAATATCATTGTCTTAATATTATCTATTATTTGATACCAATCGTGTCCTATTACATTTATTTTATTATCTCGTCATAATACAATTAATCATCAGGTTGAAAATACACATTACATGTATTAAAATAGAGAGAAAATTGCACATGTCAATGTAAACACTAAACACAGTCGAAAAAAAAACAAATATTTAAGTCAGCCATATAAGGTAACGTTATAAGTTATAAACTATGTAGGACGTAGGTATACAAAAGAAAAAAATCAATATTTTTCAATAGAAGTACAATTTTACAATATTGATGACTGAATACTGATGTTGGTATCTAAGTAGTAATAAATAATAATAGAAGTACAATTTTGCAGTATTGATGTATACAATTTATAATAATATAGGTTAAAGATTAGGTTTTAAGTTAGAATATTTGTGAGTTGTTAAAAATATTTTTTTTAAAGTACCTATTCATATAGTACTAACAAAATATATAGCGTGGGTTTTTATGAATTTCCATATTTATTCTGGTTGAACGTATAATATTCTAAGTAAGAACAACATATTTTGTATCATGGAGCCTAGAGATTGAAAATATGAAACTTTTTTAGTGCACATTTTTGCTTATAGTTCAATCTTTCGATGTTTTAAGGAACTATTTTATGACATAGCATTTTCTAACATAGCAAACTTCAGAGCTGGTGTTAAAGAAGAAGGAGTCACTTATTATAAAAGATTCCATAATCAGTTTGCAACTCATCCCAATCCTTTAATTAAAGCTCTTTCAGAAATTGTTATTCAGGGTAATCCTCCAAGCCGTTTAAAACATAACTGGTGTAGAGTTATGCTAACTTAATATTATAATATAAAAAACAAATAAATAAATAAATTCATATATATATATATAAATTAATGTATAACCTCAATTTGTAAGTGTCATCACTGGGTGGCTGCTTTTATCAAGCCTTTTCATGTATTATATTTATCTCAGCTAATACTTTTATTGTACCCATGAGGTACATATTGTGTATATAATAAAGGAAAAAAAACTTCGTATTTAATACTTTAGTAGCTTAGTGCACATTTAGAAATAAATAGAAATATTTAAAAAAATATTGATTGCCAAATATTAAAAAAAAAATTTGGGAACTTGATCTGGCTGTGTAGTAGGTGTCGAGTGTACCTCTAAATGTAGTGGGTCATTGTTATGATTGTGTTAAATTTGAGTTCAATGATAAATCATTGAATACGAAAAAAAAATTCTGAGCGGATACGGACTTCCAGCATTCAGCCTATATTTCTAAGGATATTTTATTATATATATTTATATTGATACTATTATATAGTTTTAAGTCTGCGGCGATGTCTGTTATAATTACTATCATAAATTAACGCTGGAGTTGAGTTCTTCAAGAAAGAAGTAGGTATCCTTGCACTCCCTCTCTCAAACATTTACACTTCAGATATCCCTCATATAACGACGTTACAACGTTTTTTTGCTGATGATACTGGTATAATTTCAACAGAGCCAAATCCTGAAACAGCATATTTTCAACTCCAAAGTTATCTTAATGAGTCTAAAAAGTTAAAGAAATAGGTATTATATTAATTGTAGAGTAAAATCAATGGATATTTTCCTTGAACAGGTGAAACTGATTTAATTTCTTTTCTTCTCTGATAAAATGTACTTAGTGTATTACTCAATATATTCTTTTAATTGAAGTATGAACAATTTTTAAGGATCCTTGTATTTAATTTTCAATCTTTTTTTATTGAAAAACAAAAATTTTATCATACATAAACCGAAAAAAATGGCAAATATATATATGCAAATAGCACAAAAGTAGAGCGTAAATTCTAAATTGGTGAAAATTGCAATTCTCTATAGTTTTTTTTATTTTTGAATTACAACAAATAAATAAAACCGATTTTGTCAAAACCTGTGTTGGCGTAAAAATTCTAATTTTCCCCTATGCCTTCCCACCACAATAATAATATAGAAAAGTTATGAGAATTTGTTACTATTATACCCCCCCCCCCCACAAAGTATCA